CAGAGGGGGATAAGAGTTCTATTACAGTTGGTCTCAGGTCCCTGCATGATCTAGTTGTTTCCTAAACTCCATTCACACCTTGGGCATTAGGCCCTTTGTAAATAAATCTTACTTTCGTTACTTTGATGCACTGAGCCATCTGTTTCCTATGAGGAAGGACCCTGACTGACACTTAGATGAATGATAACAAACAGGCCAAAACCAACTTTAGAATATGCAGAGGCGAATTTGGCAAGCTTCACTGTAAAAAATTTTTTAAAAAGCCTCACTAAGAATTTTCCCCTATTGTGTATATTACCTGAAAAAGACATCATCAGTCATCATCTAAAAACCTGAATAGGTTTTGAGCTCCAGTCATTTCTAAGATGATACTGACATTCTCACTGAGGGCCACTAAATGTTCAGGTCATGGAATGACCAGAGCCAAGAGTAATAACGTTTTGGAACCACTTAGTGAAGGCAATCTTTTCTGGCAACCTCAGAAAGGTCAACTAATACAAAAACATTTACCATACCAACTAATATGAAGCTATTTACCATAATTAACCTTCAAATTCCCCCTTTTTAATTTTATATCTGTAGACTCAGCCTAAATAAGCTTGACATCATCATGTAAATTGTGCTTTCAGAGTTTTCAAATAACAATGTAAGTTTTTACTAATTCATTCAATTTCTATTGCTTACTTCTCTCTAGTGATTAATGGTGAGTAACAAGAGAAGGTAACTCATCCGTAATTAAGGTTTCTATCTGGTTACCTATCTCTAAGGGTTAATAAACTGTATCAAGATATAAAACACATTCCAAGTCATTAAAATCCATTATGTTTTCTCTCTTACCTAAAAACCTAAACCAAACCAAACAAAACAAAGCCAAATTAAAGGAAAACATTTATCCTAAGCTGGAATTAGGTTTATTGTTTTTCTTTTATTATCTGGTGCACTCATTAATTCAGCCAACATTTGAACATCAACAAGTGTTAGTTTAGGTACTAACAACAAAAAACAAAAAAAAGAAAAAAAAAAGAAAAAGAAAAAAACCCTAAATATCTTATGAGGAGTTTTTAGTCCAGTTAGGAAGAATAAATTATAATAAAAGATAAATACCATGGTAAATGTAAGCCATGGACACACATAGAAAGGGCATCTAAGTCAAGTGGGAGATGGGCCAGAAAATCTTAGGGACATCACAGAGGACAAAAACTTTGGAGAATAAATAGAATTAGATAAGCCAAGAAAGGAGACAGGGACATTCCTAGGAGAGGGATAAACATGTACATACAAAGATACAGAGATCCAAAATAGCACGATGCATTCAGGGAACTTCCAGTGATATTTTATAGCTGAAAAAAAGGGTGAATATGAGAAGGTGGCTAGTAACAAGCATTGGAAGCCTGGAGCAAGGCTACCGAGCTTTTACATTGTACAGAGAGTTAAAGGACTACATCATTCAGGATGCCATTGGTTGCAAGAATCAGAACACCTAATGGTAAATGGACTAAAAGTAGGAAAATGTACTGGCTTGTGTAGCAGTAAATCCATGATGGGTTAGCTTCAGGGTTAGCTGAATCCAGGAGCTTCCTGTCACTTCCTGAAGTTTTCTTTCCTCTGTGTGTTGGATCCCAACTCAAGCTATGGAAATGCCCCATAGGGACAAAATGAATGCCTTGTCTTTAGACTCTCTTGACATACTACAAGTTTGAGAGAGAGGAGGCTTTTATCCAGCATTTGAAGCAAGAATTCTGAGATTCACTGAGATTGAAACTTTTTAGGACACAGGCCCATCCTTAAACCAACCAGGATTCATCCCAGGGATTGGAAATATTTTCCATGAGGCACATATGTTAAATTCTCAAAACTTAATCATTTCACAAGTAATGGAAATAGTTTGTTTTTCTTTTTTTTTTAACACCATATTTTCCAAAAAGCTCCAATTAATACTATCTTTCTACTGGAGTAAGTCATCATGTTCAAATGATACTAACTCTTGGGGGGAAAGGGTGACATGTTATACACCAACTGGAATTTCATTCTGTTAGGTCTGTTTACATATGATGGGTACTAGAATTTCAGTGCCTGTTCCATTTTTCAAAGGAGATGATGAGAACTTTTACCCAGTATCAGTATGGCTATCAACAGAGTATAGTACGTTACAGAGTCTAGTAGGAATCCTATCAATGTTATACATTATTCTGTATTGGTCAGTCCATACTGGCATGTCCAAGTTTTACTTCTGGCATTTATTACTGAATTCTGTCCTAGGTATTTCTTCAATATATAGTCTTTGTGGATGGCGTCTTTGTCACTTGATTTCCTGAAAAAAAAAATCAAAGCACATTTCTTTAATGTGTTTTGCACAATGTTGGCTGTGCTCACTTCACACATTCCCTTTGATGGCTGCACCCTCTGTGTGATGATCTGCTTGTTCTCACCTCAGTGGTGGCAAATATATTTTAAGTCCTTTTTTGTGAGAAGTCACATTTCTGTTAGGAGTTTGTTCACAGTGCTTTGGCACTTCAAGAAAAAGAATATTTAACATAAAAACATGAAGCCATTGTTGAGCATTATTTAATGTATAGAATACACCTCTATCAATTAATTCTGTGAATGTCTGTCTGTATTTATGTTTATTAAGGATCACTTCACATTTGTACCAATTAAGAGTAGATTTTTCCTTTTCTTTCATACTGGTTTATTTTGGCTTTCATTGGTCCTTAATGTTGATCTGTGTCTGGACAAAATTGATCAACTTCTTCTCAGATAATGTCTAATTTCAAATGGCATTTGAGTTAACTCTTGTGAGTGACTCACTGATTATACATTAATCTTCAGTGTATTATACATGGATCTTCAGTTAGTAAACAATATATAATTGATGAACTAGACATGCTTTTAAAGCCAAGTTAGGAAAAGTGCTCTTAACTGTAGTCCTTTTATTTGTATAACCCATTAAATCAAGTGTCTTATCTAAAGATGAACTATCCAGTATTAAATTATTTGGGATCCATTAATGATGTTCTTCATAGGAAAGGTTACTCTCCTATAAAGATGGTTTCCATTCACCATCTCTGTTGAGAATTTCAATTACAGAGTTTGGAATCTGCTTATGAAATTTGTAGAAAATTCTAAATTTACAGGATTAACAAAAAACAGGTAGATGTAAACTAGCCTTAATACTTTGCAAAAATGATCCTATAAAAATCTAATGGAGTCTAGTATGTTCAAGTACATAAGAGATTTGTTAAGGTCATAAGACATAAAATTTTGTCCAAAAAAATGACCAATATGATAAACAATGGGCTGCAGAATCACCAGAGTTGTATCATACAGTATTTTTTTTATTGCTAAGAAAAAAAGAATTATTGGTGGTTTTGAAAGTAGTGATATTTCTTTACGTTGTTCTCATTTGAGATTTTTAACAAAATACATATTACTTTAAAATGCAGTACTATTTCATTGTAATAGCAATTTTACTCCTTTTGCTTTAGGCAGTATACCTACATTTTGAAGAACTGTACATCCTAAAGCATACGTTGGTCACCCTTAATTTAGATAGTCACCTGATGAACTCAGTGGGTTTTCTGAGGTCCTTTTCAAATCACTGTTCTATTATAGTTGTGAAAAAGGAATCATTACTGTGTAGGATAGCAAGAAATTATAACAAATTTCTCGTCTCCATCCTTTGAACCCATAAAAACTAATATTTTCCTTTTCTTTGCATTATAGTTAGCTTTATAGTTGTCTTATTCCTTCATTGTTCCGTCCTTAAAAGTAGGGTTTGTGGGCTCTATATCTTTTCATCTCTCACATCAGTAAGAAAAGTTCTTTTCATATGAAAGGTACATCCACAAGTTTGGTGAGTTGAATTGACTGTCAGGAGAACCACATTATAACCACCTTCCTGCTGTTAATTAGACATGTAATATTTGATGAATCATTTAATCCTGTTGGGCCTCAGTTTATTCATCTGTATAATGAAGGAATTGAACTGGTTAATCTGGAGACCTATTTCTGTTCTAAAATGCTGCAGAGTGTAGAATAGCATTAATCATCAGTTATCCCTATTAACATAACACCACTAGAGATCTATGGGACATGTTTACATCCCAATACTTTGGATTTCATCTGCTACAAATCATCTACAACCTACAAAAAAGGTTATGATTCCACAGTCTTTTTTAGGCTTTTCTCATAAGTAAGTGCTCTGAATTATATTTGTTTAATGCATATTGATAACTGCTTCTACTCCATGCCAAGTCTGATAAAAGGGGTCCTTCCCTGCACATCAAGTTACCCTAGAGAGATGTTGTACCTCCTGTAAGAATTTTTAGGTTAATTACAGCACTTGCATTACTTTGCAGTGTTGCCTCAGGCAGAGACTTGCCTGGTGGTTCAGGCAAAAGAATTCAAGTTGGAAGTGTTGTTTTGTACTCCTGCATTTTTTCCTAACTTTCTAAGCTGTACTGAAGCAAGTGATTGAGCACTTTTTTTTTTCCTGTTTACCTAATTAGGGAAAAAGTGATAAGACAGTGTAAAAGCTGTTGACTCTCAGGTATGTTGTGGTAAAGATCAAGTGTTAGCAAGGGCTCGCTGTAGATTAAATATATTCTGAAATGATGAGTTTCCTCAATGTCTCCAACTACATAGTTGCTTTAGCTCTACATTCTCAAACAAAGCACACACATACCCCCACCCACACGCGCACTTTGCTGAGCTGCACTTTGGCACGGAGGGTGTGACTGTAAAGTCATAATAAACCGTGTAGCCAACAAAAACCACTTAACTAGGCCCACCTATGCAGCGTGAGCGAGTGGAGGATAAGCCTCGCTCAAATATTTCACCTGGCATGGGTTCAAGTTTTGAAGTTGAATGAGTCTGCTTTTGTTTCTCACTAAGCCAGGAAGAAAGGGACTTGTCAGCGAGGAGGAGGACGGAAAAGAAGGAAGGAATGAGTTAAGTTCTCAGCATCTTAAGTTCTTTTTCTTTGCTTCTTTTCAAACAAGCACACCACATTGAATAGCATGTGGAAAATTGGCATTTCCAGTGAATAAAAATTAACTGGCAAACAACAAAAGGAAAAACGGAGGAATGCTGTTGGATGCTGTTTGGCTCGTCTTGTCTTGTCAGAGAAGGAACACGTGTGAATCAAATGGTTGAAGATGAATTTTACCTACACGTCTGGCTCCTGTTCAGATGTTTTAGATTTCTTAGTTAACTTTATTTGCTTGGTAAGGATTTTTTTAAAGAATAATTCTTCTATAAGTTAAGAATAAAAAAGGTGAAGACTATAAAAGTAGTATGGGTAACAATTGTTCAAATGTTCCACTTTAGAAAACGTGCTCACTTTTGTTTTCTTTTGGGGAAACTTTTTTTTTTAAGTTTTTAAAAGCCAGCAAACCAACAAAAGTATCTGTAGAGTTCTGGCTTATGGAAAACATTGCTAATCTGATATTTCCAAATGAAAGCTTGTCTTTTTAAGAAAACACACAAAACTTTTCTCGGTATCAAAAAACTATTCTTGAGGCACTTTTTCGCCCCTCTACAATAGGCTGTATGCACTTGAAATGTTTGACTCTAAAATCTCATCTGGGGATTTTAGAAGTGTCCATCTGCTTTGCTGTGCTGTGAAGCTACCCACTGATTGAATGTGTTTGGTCTTAGTAAAAAGCCAGAAGCCTACCTCATGGCTGTCTTGTCTCTTGCTATTTTCCTTTGGAGTGGATAACCATCTGATACAGAGCACAATTTCTATTTTCATTCAGAGAAATGATCCTCTGAATACAGAACAGATACCCTCTGTCATGCCAACGCTATCATGACTTGTGATTGAAATAATTAATCAAAGGCAGGTATCTGGTGAAAGAACATATGTTCAGTGACAGAGATCAACTTTCATGAAGGATACCTTCATGAAAAGTTGTACAAGTTTATATTGTAGTGACAAGGATGTCAAACAACTCCCCACATGTTAAACAACTCATAACCAAGACCTTTCCAATAACATCAAGGTCATGGTGTTTTCACTACTCTCAGAAAATGTCATTAAATCATAATGACTGGTGATGCATTTCAAACAGTGTTTAACTTTCAAAATAATTGGACATTAACTTCATGGGAAAACACATTATGAGAAAAAAATTACCTACAAATGATACTGCTGAGTAAAGTCAGACTTCATTATGTGATATCAGGTTATAATCATCTTAAAGGTAGAAGCTTTCAGAATTGTAGACTAGTTGAGTTGAAGGAAACTTAGTTCCCTCAATATAACTATATTACTTTATGGGTGAGGAAGTTCACTGATACTAAGTGGTAACACAGCAAGTTATGAGCAAAGCTCAGAAAAGACTCGGTTTTCCTGCCCCTAGGCCCATGCACATCACTCTATAGCACATCTCATGTAGCTTGTGGGGTGATATACTTGTTTCCATTCCATATCAATGCCTCTGGCATGGAGCCTGCTCAAGATTCTCTCTCTCTCTCTCTCTCCACTCTCCCTGTGCCCCTCCCCTCCCAATAAATAAATAAATGTAGAGTGAAAGAAATATTCTACTCTCTTTGAACAGAGCCAGAAATTCAATTTTGAAGAAAGAAATGAAATTTTTCTCCCAGTGATTTCATCATCTTAATGAGTTTCTGTTAGAAGTTGACAATATCTTTCTGAAGACAAATATTTCTACAGAACCAAAATAAGAGAAAGGTATTATAGCTATTTCAGTGACTTCTATTTTCAACTATTTTTCTCTGTGTGTTTGTGTGTGTGCATATGAAAATTATGTTAAGGTATTTTTCAAGCAGATGGGCCACAAAAAAGGAAAATTTTAGAAACACCCATTAAATCCAATATTCCAAATGTAATATTTATGTCCTAAACTGGATTCACTTTTTGGCTCTTATTTAACAAATAAAATCAAACATTAAAAGAACATGTGTAGCAGCCTCTGAAAGGTGTATAAATGCTGACTGTAACAGCAGGTGATTGAGGGTTCAAAAACTATTTTGCATAACCTCCAAATTATTCATCATTAAATCAGTCCAATGTGTTCAGCCTTCACAGACCAGCTTAGTATCATTGCCAAATTAAAGTTGGAATCTTGAGAGCTTATTGAATCTTTCTGACCAAGTGTTTTGTTATTGTTTAGAATTTTTCAAAGTAAGACAGAATCATTATTGGAAATAGAACAGCACTTACTTGTGAAAGTAAGTTTTAACTGTTCCTCTAAAGGGTAATGTTTTATTTTGATTTCTCATTTTTCTTTTGTACCCTAGTGAATATGCAGTTATGCCTTAATACCCACATTCCTGGAAACTTCCCCCATCTTACTTTGGCTCAGAATAGTTGACTTCCAGCACTATAGGATAGGACACTTTAAACCTCCATAAAACTAACATTGAAAGTATTATTTGTAATGTTTTTTTTTTTTAAGTTCATCTTTAAAGCCACTTAATAAAAGTCAACTAAAACAAAAGTTATTACTTCTCTTTTCTCTCCAACTAGTTTTTCTTTAAAAAATGGTGTTTGCTCATGTTAAAACAGGGAACTAAGCTGTATGTAGAAAATAATGATTTACCTTCTGAAACTGCAATACGCACAAATGGTAAGTTATTTATAAAATTGATGTTGTCAATAATATAACACAGTATGTATTCTTCAAGGAAATAAAAGGCTATTTATTTCTCTTTCCCCTAGGAGCAAGAAGAATACGGGTACAGTGCCTGGATATCTCCTAGCTACCCTAGTTCCTCAGGTACATTTTCCACTTTCCATGTTCCTACATGACAGTGTCACTGATTTCTGCCACTGTGTCATAAAGATCACTTTCCTCCTGTATCCAGCAACATTCTCTCACATTCCTGTGAGCCCTCCCAACAGCCTCAGAGGTGGCTAAGATTTGCTCAATATCTCATCAAGACCTCTTACATTTTCCTTGAAACTCTCCTTAGGTGCCTCCAGATTCTTCCTACGCCTTATCCCAAAACTACTGATAACATCTTAAGACTTTTGTTGGGATAGCACACGACTTTCAAGCACAAAAATCTGTGTTGGTTGTGTCTGACTGTGTAACAGATCACCTCAAAACTGGCTTAACGCACCAGTGTTTTTATTCTTTGTAATTTCTGAGGATCAGGAATTTTAGGGTAACTTTCTGAATGGCTCTGGCTTCAAGTCCTTCATAAAACTGTAGCTAGATTTCAGCTAGAAAAGAAGTCATGTGAAGGTTTCACTGGGGCTTTAGGATCCCCTTCCAAGGTGATTCAGTTGCTGGTAGGGTGGTGCTGATTGCTGGAAGAGGCCTCAGTTCATCACTGCATGGTTCTCTCAAGAAGGCTGTTGGGTGTCTTGTGGCTTTGCAATATTGGAAGACAATTTTCCTGGGTCTGGTGAGTAGAGGAACTGAAAGCTGGTGAGTAGAGGAACTGAAAACTTCTCTTGTTCTGAATTATCTTTTCAAGGATGTTTGCATAGCAAAAGCCTTGCTGGATAGAGATAGTCTCCCTCCAAGCAAAAGACATTTTTTTCTTCTTCTCCCATATCATAAAGGTAATATCTCCCTAAGGCAGAGATCAATCAGGTTTAAAAAACTGAGTCCCCTAGGGATGACTCTGTGGCTCAGTGATTGAGTGTCTGCCTTCAGCTCAGGGCATAATCCCAGGGTTCTAGGATTGAGTCCCGCATTGGGCTCCCTGCAAGGAGCCTGCTTCTCCCTCTGTCTATGTCTCTGCCTCTCTCTCTGTGTCACTCATGAATAAATAAGCAAAATCTTAAAAAAAAATTGGGTCCCCCAAACTTGAGGTTTATCTCCTTCAACACAACCCACTGCATGGATGTTGTCTACACTGCATGGATGTTGTCTATGGCCCACTTTGTGTTAGCCTGTGGGAATCGGAGCTCAAGTAACTGGCACAATGCTGGTACTCTGGTGACTCCCATTATTTTGAATCATAAACTGTCCTTTGACAGTTTGTGACCTGGAGTCTCGTGTCTTCTACTACTCTCCAAGAACCTGTGGCAGGGTAGCTTGTTAGCTTACAAGTAGGGTACAGTCTCAAATCATTTATAGGTAGATGGCTTCCACCAGAGTGAAAGATCCAACAGGCTAAGGCAGAAGATGAGATGACTTTTTGTCCTAGCAGAGAAAACCCCACACCATCATTTCCACAATTCCATCATAGGCCAGCACTGATTCAATGTGAGAAGAGATGATGCAAAGGTAGGAACACCAGAAGGTGAGGCTCATTAAGAGCTATCTTGATACTTGGTTATCACAGCTCTCCTAAAAATTGTAAAAACTGTAAAAACTTGAGCTCAGAAATAATATAGTGATTATTTTTGTGCTGCCTGTAGATCTCAAACTAGTTTATTTCATATTACATTAATAATATTGTTGAATTGCATTGTTCTAAAAATATTACATGTGGTGTAGGGAACAATATTTCCATATAAAATGTGATGAGTAAGCCTGTAAAAAAGGAAAATATTTCTTGGTGTACCCTTTATCATCTAATAAGCAGAAAAAAATATCAGCATGAATTAGAAGTGGTATACTAGCCTTGTAAAGACCCACTATAAGGGGTATCTGGGTGGTTCAATGGTTGAGCATCTGCTTTGGCTCTGGTCATTATCCTGCGGTCTTGGATCTTTAGGGAACCTGCTTCTCCCTTTGCTTATGTCTCTGCCTCTCTGTGTCTCTCATGATTAAATAAATGAAATCTTAAAAAAAAAAAGACCTACTATAAGAGATATTGCCGGCTAATTTTGAATGACTAGTATTTCCTATCTTATCAAAATCTTCTGAACATTATATGAATAGAATCAAGAGAATAAGATTTGTGGAATTGTGACCAAAGAGAGAAAGAAGAAAGGGCACAAAGAATTATAAAAATAGTCATTCATATAACTTAATTTGAGAAGAATAAGTAAAATTAAAAGCTTTCTTTTCTTAAGAATATTTTATTTATCTATTCATGACAGACACAGAGAGAGACGCAGAGACACAGGCAGAAGGAGAAGCAGACTTCACGCAAGGACCCCGATGTGGGACTCGATCCCAGGCCTCTAGGATCACTCCCTGAGCCGAAGGCAGAAGCTCAACCACTGAGCCCCCCAGGTGTCTCAAAGGTTTTCTTTTAAATTAGGTTCTTTTAAATCAATCCTTTCTCCTTGAATGTTTTGAGAATCCAATTACTCAATATATCTCAACCACACTATGCACTACTTTTGTAAAATGTTAAGACAGGGGGAAAGAGATTTGAGTATGGTGATAATATTTCATCTAAATATATCTAAATCAAACTGCCAACTTCAAGACCTGCCCCATTTTGATTCATTATATCAGCTCAGCTAATAGCAAAGACTTCTTTGAAGCACAGTGACTGAGATTTATCAAAAAAACCTGTCATGATCTCTGCGGAAATAATTTCCAAATTCTTATGCAGTTATTATATTTCCTGGCCTGGAAGCATAATGAGTTTAAAGTATTAATTTGGAACACATTCCATCTTTTGCCTCCCATGGTTAAACTGTTTAATTAAAGGCCTTGAAGGCTTCTGGGCAAAACAATCAGCACATGGTGTGATCATCTCCCTCTTATTCTCTTTGCTTTGTGCTTTTTCATCTTTTGGAACTTAATTCGTTTATTCTAGGACTATTTGGCATTCTCCACTTAGGCTGTAGTAGACAAAAGAAGCCATTAGTCATTTGGTTTTGTAGATTCTCATAGAGATTGATTCTGATGGCTGAAGACAGTCATGCATTGCACAAATATTTATTGAGTGAATGCCAACTAAGGTTCCTGATATTCTGCTAGATGTTTTGAAAAAACTGACGAATCAGTTTTAGCTCCTTGTTTACATGTGAAGGAGTATTCAGGCAAGAAGGGGGGATGAGATAGGGTCATAGCCATCTACAACCCAAAGAAGCAAGAGGTAAAGTGTTGGAGTAAGATGTTACAAGACAAACTTTGAAGAGACTATTTTTGATAGGAGGAATTGAAAAGAAGACACATAAGTGAAGTGAGATTTAAAGTCCACTAGGAGGGATTTAGATGTTTAGGGGTTGGGAAATGGGAGAACATGAAAGAAAAAAAAAAAAAAGAACAAGGGGAAAGTAGGTCACCAAAGCACAGAATATAAAAAGACTTTATTCCACTCTTAATTATGAAGAAAGTATTATCAAAAGGTCTTAAATTAGAGGACTAGCAATTGAGATTTGTATTTTAAATAGCCAATTGAGGTTATAGCACAGAGATTGAATTGGAAGGGGTAATAATAGAAAGAGAGAAAAGAAACTAGTCTACATTTTTTAGCTCTTACTATTTGCTTTTTGTTTGAGAGAGAATCCATTTTAGATAATGACAATCCTTTCCAGTTTGACTTCTTGCCTTCTTTGAAGCATCTTTTTGATATTCACTTTCTGGTACCTCATTTTGTGACCTTCACTAAGAAATGTCCTTTCCTTCAGTAGAATTAATACACTGGGCCCATTCACTCTATGGCTTCTCCAGTAGAGAAATGAAGAGGTAATTAGAGAGTAATATAAATTTTTCCATTGTGATTTTTGTAGATTATTCTGTGTGCGGCTCTGTGTGGAAGCTAGGTATAGGAAAGTATGAGGTTGGCCCATGAATGGAGGTATGGGTTAAGGGAATCAGAATTCATGCCTTAGACTCAGCAGTGTCAGGAAGCAAGAACTCAAATTTTTAAGTCTGTGGAGAGCAGGCGTACTGTATCTAAAATAAAAGGGCTAAGTAACATCCTGCCAAATGGAGTAGATGCTGGAACACCCTGAGACAATGGCAGACTGGGGAAGGGTACCTATTTTACAAAGGACCTTTAACAAAGCCTGTGAGAAGAAAAAGGACTGGTAAGGTTGTGACAGGTTAGAACATATATGGTACTTCTCCAATTACTTTCTTAAACACACTGACTTGAAGTCAAAATCCTAACACCTTAAATGCCCTATGGGTAACCAGTTTTTATACATTTGGGTTAATAATAAAGATAGTTTTGGCAATGGTAAATATTTTCTTTTGGTGATTAGGAATAAATTTTCTGGGGAATTAAAGACTATAATTTAAAGAATTCTTTGATGGCTTCTCTGTACGTGGTTGTATTGACTCTAAGACCTTGTGAATAGTTCAACACTTCCAGTATGGTATGGAATAAATATATTAAAGATGCACTTTTGTGAGTGGTAAAACATGGCAAGAGATTATTGATTTTTCTGACATGCATTTATTCATTTATGAACTCAAGAAGTTTTGGCAACTTTATCTAATGTCAAAAAGCATATAGTCCAAATTTTTACCTATCTCATCTATTAGAAGCCTAGTAGATAAAAGCAACAAGTAGAGTAAAGAGTGATATGAATTGAAAATATGTATTTTATGCAAGAATGATTGCCTGGAAATAACAATGGGAAAAAAAAGAGTGACAAAAGAAACAATTTTCTTTCTTTTTAAATTCTACCATAGAGTGAACAAATAAGGAAAAATAAATTTTCAGATCTTGAATATTAAGTACCCTTATTTTCCAAATAACCATTTTTAATTATCTTGATGTTTTTGTTGTTCCAAACAAGGACCATTTAAGAATCTTATTTAAAATCATCTTTACAGAGGCACCTGGGTGGCTCGGTCAGTTAAGCATCTGACTCTTGATTTCAGCTCAGATCATGATATCAGGGTTGTGAGATCAAGCTCCACACTCAGTGTGGAGCCTACTTAAGAACCTACTCTCCCTCTGTCCTGCCCCCACTCTCTCTCTCAAAAATAAATAAGTAAAATAAATAAAGTTAAAATAAATAAAATAAAATAATCTTTACAGAGGTAGTATTATGGTGTAGTATTTAAAAAGGTTGGGTTCAGAGCCATACTACCTTGATATGAATCCTATTCTACAGTTGACTGTTGTGTAACCTTGTGCACATTAATTAACCTCTCTCAGACTCAGTTTTCTCATCTGTAAAATACTACCAGCTTCATAGAACTGATATAAGGATTAAATTAGTTAATATATCTAAAAAATCCTCAGTCATCCTCAAACATGTCTGTTTCTACATAGTAGAAACTTGATAAATATCATTATTGTTAATACTATTATTTCATCAAAGCAGCAAAAGTTACTTTATTGAATGAAAAATGTTTTAAAGTTAGTTATATAAAAATATTTTGATATTGTCGAAGTGAAACTATCAACTCATTAATTTCTTTACTTATTTCACTTTCACTCAGTTATGATAATATTACAGCATAATCTGAATAACCCCCTTTTATTTTTACTTTTTGCACATGACATCACTAGTGCTTTAACTCAAAATATTTTCTACACAATTTTTACCTACAATATTTAGTTCTAGCCCTTTACTCTTTCTTAAACCTCTTGAATACATTTTTTTTTAATTTCTCACTTTAAAAAAAATTTCTCACTTTTCTTGTTCTTATTGTTTGAACAGAGATAGCACAAGTTAGCAAATACATGGATATCTGAATAAAACTTGAATTTTAATTTGTGTATGTGACATATATATCATTTATTACCTATGTGTGTGTGACTTAGAGAACAAATGATTTAATTGCTCTAAGCCTTAATATCATCAGGTCTAAAATGTAAACTATAAAACCTTCCTTGTAGAATTATGTAAGCATTAACTATTATATACTTAAAATATTTAGCAATGCAATGCAATGGCACATAATAGATCAATAATAGCATAAAGTTAAACACAAAAGGGAGCAATATTCCAACATACAAAACTCAAATAAGAAAATTAGAATGAAAATGAGATGTCATTTCTCACCTTTAGTTTTGGTAAATAAATAAATAAATAAATAAATAAATAAATAAATAAATAAACATTTAAAAAAATATCCAGTATTGCAAAGAGTTGAAAAGAAAAGGAAGTCTCACAAGCTGTTGATAGGGTGAAGGTTTACAATTCTATTGAGAACAATTCTGCAGGATCTATCAAAGTTTAAAAGACACTCTTTGACCCCAAAATTTCATATTTATGAATCTCAGTTAACAAAGGTCAATAAATACAAGAGGCTGAGAATCCAGGAAAGCATAGTTGTCAGAAAATTGTGAATCATAACCATGTTGCTATTCCTAATGCCAAAGAAACTACTACTTGTGTTTTCTTCTAGAATCGTTATAACTTTAGGCTTATATTCAGATCTTTAATCCATCTGAGTTTGTTTTTGTGTATGGTGTTAGAAAGTGGTCCAGTTTCATTTTTTTACATGTAGCTGTCCACTTTTCCCAATACCATTTATTGAAGAGACTGTCTTTTCCTCCTTTGCTGTAGATTGGTTGATCATAGAAATTTCGGTTCATTTCTGAGCTCTCTATTCAGTTCTATTGATCTATGTGTCTATTTTTGTGCTAGTAGCATACTGTTTTGATTACTACAGCTTTGTTGTATACCTGGAAATCTGGAATTGTAATTCCTCCGGCTTTTTTCTTTTTTCTCAAGATTGCTTCAGCTATTTGGTGTCATTTGTGGTTCCATACAAATTATTTGTTCTAATTCCGTGAGAAATGATGTTGGTATTTTGATAGGGATTAGATTGAAACTATAGATTGCTTTGGATAGTATGGACAATTTAACAATAATAGTTCTTCCAATACCTGAATGTGGAGTATCTTTCCACGTGTTTGTGTTACCTTCAACTTCTTTCATCAATGTTTTATAGTTTTCAGATGACAGGTCTTTTACCTTTTTTATTAAAATTATTAAATTTATTCCCAGCTATTTTATTCTATTGATACAGTTGTAAATGAAGTTGTTTTATTAACAATAGTTTATTTTTGCTTTTGTTTCCTTTGCTTTAGGCAACATATCTAAGAAATTTGGGACTACATCAAAATAAAAAGCATTTGCAAAGTGAAAGAAACCACCAACAAAACAAAAAGGCAACCAGTGAATGGGAGAAAATTGCAAATAACATATCTGAGAAGGGGTTCATATCCAAAATACATAAAGAACTTATGAAACTCAACCCCAAGAAAACAATCTAATTTAAAAACATGTGCAGAGGACCTAAATGGACATTTTCCAAAGAAGATATACAGATGGTCAACAGACACATGAAAAGATGCTCAAGATCACTAATCATCAGGGAAATGCAAATCAAAACCATGAGATATCACCTTACACTGTCAGAATGGTTAAAATAAAAAAGACAAATAATAAGTGTTGGTGAGGATATGGAGAAAAAGGAACCCTTGTGCACCACTGGTGGGAATGTAAATTGATACAACCACTATGGAAAACGGCATAAAGATTCCTCAAAAAAATAAAAAACAGAAATACCATATGATCTAATAATTCCAGTACTGAATATTTACTCAAAGAAAATAAACACACTAATTCAAAAAGATGTATACACCCTTATGTTTATTGTAGCATTACTTTTAATAGCCAAGATATGGAAGCAACCTAAAAGTCCATTGATAGAAGAATGGATAAGAAAGATGTGCTCTGAATGTGTGTGTGTGTGTATGTAATATTACGCACCCATAAAAAAATGAGATTGTGTCATTTGTGACAACATGGATGGACCTGAAGGGTATTATGCTAAGTGAAATAAGTTTGAGAAAGACAAATACCATATGATGATACTCATATGTGGAATCTTAAAAAAAAAACCCAACTCAAAACAAAACAAATGAATAAGCAACAAAAAGCAGAATCAGACCTATAAATACAGAGAACAAACAAACTGATGGTTGCCAGAAGGGAGGGGGGGTGAGGGAATGGGTACAATGGGTGAAGGGGAGTTGGAGATACTTTGAGTTATGAAATGTCATGGGAATAAAAGGCACAGCATTGGGAATATAGGCAATGATACTGTAATAGTGTTGTATGGTGGGAGATGGTAGCTACCCTTGTGGCGAGCACAGCATAAGGTATAGAGAAGTTGAATCACTATGCTGACCACCTGAAACTAAGGTAACATTGTGCCAACTATACTCAGATTTTAAAAAGAGAGAAAAAGAAACATTGATCTGTAAGATGAGTAAACATTGCTATTAATAGTGACATTTGATAAGGACCAATTATGAATTATATATATATATATATATATTTTTTAAAGATTTAATTTATTCATGAGAGACACACAGAGAGAGAGGCAGAGACACAGGCAGAGGGAGAAGCAGGCTCCATACAGGGAGCCAGATGTGGGACTTGATGCCGGGTCCCCAGGATCAGGCCCTGGGCCAAAGGCAGGCGCTAAACCGCTGAGCCACCCGGGAATCCCCTCTTGTGAATTATAAAAAGAGGGAAAATATCTGATATGTATTGCATCCATATTAAAATATGCTATAACTATTCCCTTGATAAGACTTTTGAGATTAAGGACTCCAGGTTTAAGCATAACTCTTTACGTGATACAAGAAGAGAAAATAAAACCTGTGGCTATTTACTGTCCTCAAGCATCAAGAGTATTAAGTGCCACAGAGATAAGCAGGGAGAAGCAAACAGAATTTAAAAAAATTTTTTTCAATATTATTGCAACTGTTTCATTTTCAGTTTTTTAAATTTAAATTCAATTTACCAACATATGGTATAACACCCAGTGCTCATCTCATCATGTGCCTGTCACCCAGTTATCCTATATCCCCACCCACCTCCCCCTCTGCAACCCTTGGTTTGTTTCCCCAGAGTTAGGAGTCTCTCATGGTTTGTCTTCCTCTCTGATTTTTCCCCAGTTTCCTTCATTTCTTATCGTCCTTTTCCTATTTCTTATATTCCATATATGAGTGAAATTATATGATAATTGTCTTTCTCCAATTGACTTACCATTAGTAGTAATGATTCCTTTGGCCGGAGTCTGTGCATGTGATTCTTTAGACTGAAATAATGCCTTTGGGAAAAAAGTTAAATTTTCCTGGCAAAGTTTATCCAGGAGGGGATTTGGAGTATCAATGAGTGTTAAGTTGCAACTGTTGCTAATGTGATTTTTAAAATACTGAATGTGAGCATCAATAAGCTTCTGGACAATTTGAATTCTTTCTATTCTTAATGTTAACTGAATTTTAAAAAACCCAGGCATTATCGAGAATGATTTATAACATCAATTAGACATTATCTGTTTATAAGATTTTCTATTAGATTTGAAAACCTCAGGTTTTTTAAATATGAATTAATCTTGAGAAAATACCATTTACATTTGAAAATTTGCAGTGAAGTTAATCAATAATAATAATAACAATAATGTCCTAAAATGTCTAACAGATATGAAGGAATGTATTTTAAATTTGCTCTTTAAAAGGGATAATGGAGCACTTGGGGAGCTCAGTGGTTGAGTGTCTGCCTTTGGCTCAGGGCGTGATCCCAGGGTCCTGGAATGGAGTACCACATTAGGCTCCCCGCAGGGAGCTCCCTTCTCCCTCTATGTTTCTGCCTCTCTCTCTCTGTATCTCTCATAAATAAATAAATAAAATCCCTAAAAATATAAATAAAAAATTAAAAGGAAAATATATTACTGGATTTAGAATAACTTCCCAAAGCAGACTCTAGGACCCTGAAAAGCCCTTTAAAGTTCTTTCAGTTTGATAGTTTGTGTTTATTATTTTTAACTATTAAAATACTATATAATGATATAAAATTTAAGAGATTCTGATATATAATTAAAAATTAGGAGGGTTACTATTTTTCCTTATAAAATTTGTGTGTTATCTATCCATCAATTTATATTCCTGAGTGTGTATTGTATTGTATGTATTGTCTGCATATTTATCTGTATAAATATACAGATGATTTTTTAAAATAAAAGTTGGAACACAAACTACATATATTAATTTGTATCTTACATCTTTCATGTAATATTGTAGAAATTTTTATTTATTCTACATCATGATATATAGACCTACCTCATTCATTTAAATAGTGCTATCAAATTTCAAAATACAGACATGCGGTAATTTAAGACTTTCCCATTGATACCTTTTTATCAGATTTCTGCCACTACAAACAATGCTGCAGTGAGTGCTCTTATAAACACAACTTTGTTCACATATAGGATGGCTTCCTAGAGGCAGCATTGCTTGATCAGATTACACACTTTAAAATTTTTGATGGATCATGCCCATTTGTCCTCTAAAGAGCTAGAACCAATTTATCCTTCCACCAAAATTTGTGAAAGTTGTTCTGCACATCTTCTCTCATGGTGAATATTATTACAATAATTATCCTTTTCCAAACAAATAGATTGAAAAATGGCATCTCATGTTCTTTAAAGTTATAATTATTTGATTATTAGTTAAGTTGAAGAGATACTAAAGAATTCATCCTGTTACTGGGGGGGGGGAGTGGGAAATGGGGATAACACAACATTCAGTCTTCAAAATGTATTAAAGTTCAGGCTAAGCTGGTGATATAGAGAGACTCCAAAGAACAGTACAGAATACTATGTGAGTTTGTTGTTTTGTTTTGTATGTCTCTTTCTTGATCATAAAACCTTCTGCTAGTCTGGGCTGGTGGGGCAGCTCTCCTCCTTGCGATCATCCAGGGACTCAGGTTCACAGCCTTTCATACACCTAGTAAATTATCTGTGTCTGCATGGTGAAAGCTGAGTCGTGAATATCTATATTTCAACTTGTGGAAAGGGGATAGAGAGAAATTCTGGGGCAAGCAACTTCTTTTATGTAAATATGATGGACATTGCATGCACCCTATATTCTCACACTCCAATGTCTAGAATGTAGTCAACTTGCTGTATGTAGCCACAGAGGAAGCTGAGATATATGGTCTCCAGCTTGACATCTATGAGTCCAAAATGAAAATAACAGATTTTTACTACTTTCCTGAGAGCTGTTTCTCAAATGAACAAATAGTTGCTTTGCCCCCATATTCTGTGTGTCTGTCCTATGTCAGAAGTTTCATATAACACCTGTAGGGACTGAGAAAAAAAAGTTTGCCAAGTGAGTAGTTACTATCCTAGGAATCTGGGACTGAGTCAATTTTCTTGAGTAAAGATATCAACTCTTGAATAACAGCTACAATCAGATTCAGTTTTTGATAATCCAGTCATTCTTCAAGGGGTGGATTTCCTGGGCCTTTCTTTAAGAACATCCTTGGTCTGGAAATTGAGTGGGACTATAAGAAGCAATGAATTCCCCCTTTGGCAACTCGAGTTGGATTTTTGTTTACCAGACATACACTTTTTCCAATTAGACAGATCAAGTAATGCCTTGTTGGCTGCCCATCCACTTTATACCAGGGGATATTGTCATCAATTAGCCACAACCACAGATTTCTGGAGGTCAAAACACTGGTTGCCACTCAGTCTCTGTGGCTGATTATGGTAATTGCAACCACCTTTTCTCTGAGGGTTAAGCATTACCACATGGTCTTTCCCATTCCTGGATTCTGTTATTCCCACTGAAAGGAGAGATCCCAAGAAACGAGAGATCCTACACAATGGCACCACCCTTCACCTTTGTTTTCAGTTTTTCAAACACAGACGCCTTAGAACTTCTCAAGGATGCCACTCTCTTCTTTGTGAACTCTCTTAATTTTTTATTGCCTTAATGGAAAGAGAATTCTCTGGAATCTCCTAATGGACATCGAAATAAGGTGTGTAGGTTGTATACAATAAATCTACCTCAAAACTCTCAATTCCTTCCTCCATTAGAGCAAGGAAGTTCTGCCATTTTGACATCATGAAATGGTTTTCATTAAATCCAGGATTCTGTAGTCAACAAGGAAACTACTAAATGTACTTAAACCTGCTTTGGCTGGCACACTAAATTCAAAATGCCAGGCAATTAAAGCATTATAAATAAATTGGTCCACTTCATCCTTATATTATGTCTCCTTCAGCATAGTACTCTTAGAAACCATCCCCACCCAGCTCATTAGGTTCCTACTGATAAATTTTAAAAGATCTTTTAGGTCTTATAATAGTGCATTCTCTATCTCTTATGGAAAGAGACTTATCAATTTTGCACCTGAGGCATTCTGAGATCTAGCTTCAGTTATGGATATAGAGGTGAAGAGAGGTGGTAGGGTTAGGTCTAACTGACATCTCTTTGTGAGGCAAAAACTCAGAGGAGGTCATTGAAAGGTCTTATACACAGATTATTTTTCTCATACAGGGGGAAGAGAGGCTACTTATTGAAAAAAAAATCTTGAAATGATTTGGGGAATCAAAGTTCTACAAAACTAGACTATTATATTTTGGGCCCAATCCTCAGGCATGGCTGCCCTATAGTTACTAAAGAGAAGGGATTTTTTTAAGGCCACCACAGAAGCTTTTGAGCTCTCCACTAGTGTTTTGGGTTTGAAATTTAAGTCCTGTACTTATATTTTGTTTTTCTAAGCTCCCAGGATGGTCAGAAACAGCTGGTATACCCCATATTCTTTGTAATTATCATTACTGTCACAGAAAACAAAATCAACAGCCATTTGATATCTGGTTCTTCCTCCCACATCATCACTGAGTAATTATGATTTCATGACATACCATTACCAGTATGCCATTTTCCTCCAGGAAGACTATGTTTTCATTAAATATGTTAACAAACCAATTTCAGAATACCATATTAAGGACTTACCTTGTGAAGCTATGTCTGGTGTCCAGTACTGTTCAATCAGAATCCCTACAGAAAACAAAATTGTCCCCAGATGGTTAAGTGGAGACATTTCAACAAAGGGTTACCTATGGATGTATACGTAGGGTGAAAGGAGAGTGAAGCACCCATGCAGTAACATCAGCAGGAAAGTATACATTTCTAGGATCAAAAGTTCAAGGAGGACAAAAAGTTCCTTGAGCCCAGAAAGAGCTAGCATTATAAAAAATAAATAAATAAATAAATAAATAAATAAATAAATAAATAATAAATAAATAAATAAAGGGACCATTTGGTGGAAGCTTTGGACTTGGTGGAATGTAGCTAGTGCTGAATATACCTGATCCATTTGGAAGCATAGGGAAAAAATAACTTTGGCTTCTCTCTCCCTGCACCTTGTAACTTCCTGTCAGTGCTTCCACTGGTTGAACTTTGGTGGAGGCCAATCAACAAGGGAAATCAGGATGCAGTTCTTGGAGAATCGCCCCAATCCCCAACAGAGTTAGGCAGGGGAAGGGAGAAATGGAACTATGAAAGACCACAGGGGGGTGCCATGGAGGGGAGATGCAAATGAACAAGCAGCAAAGATAACTATCCCACGTGGCATCTCATTTCATCCTTTCTGTAATACTTCTGCTTTCCCACATTTTATAAATAGGAAAGTGAGGGTCAAAGTGGCCAAGTAAATTGCTTAACATCACATAACCAGGAAATACTCAAGCCTAGGATGAACGCAGGTCTGTCTAGGGCATATTTATATTCCTCCCTCTCTATCCATATAATGACTTAAACATTTAGATATAATTATGGAAATGAAAGGTGATTGAAAGTAATGGAGTTAGAATAGGAGGAAGGGCACAAACAGAACATGCAGTTTTGACATTCTTGAAACAAGTAATTTTAAAGACATTTACCTTCTTAAGAGAATTTATCACAATGTGAAATTACTTCCTTACAAGTCTGTCAACTGTCTCACTTAATAGAAAGTAAGGTTCATATGAGCAAGGAGTTTGTTTGTGCTCTATCCCTGGTACCAAGGTCTGTATACAATATGTGTTAGATTCTCAAAGAATATTGGTTGAATGAAAAAGTAAATAAATTAATAAAATAGTGGGCCAGTATATAAGCATAGTTCTTTGGGAGACTGGTAACATAGAATTGTATCCTGCAATATTAAATTTGCAAATAATCCTGAATACCATCCAACCTTTCCTGAATATCTCCAAGAAAGAGATCTCATACTGAATAGGTAGCTATTCCACTATTCTCTTGTTTAAATACATCAATAAGTATAGTTATATCTATACTAAAGGCAATTAGTTCTGTTTTTATCCCAAATTTTAACCTCTGTAATAACAAAGATAATATCTTGACCACAGCAATCTTTGAAATACTTACTAAAAACATAATTAGTGCCTCTCTCATGTAAGATAAAGCTACTTGTTCTTTCAGCTTTTCTTTATATAAACTAATTTCTAGATATTTTATCCTCCTGGATGCCCTCTTCTATGCATGGTCTAATTTTTCAGTAGTTTTCTTAAAATGTTAGAACTCGATGATATAAACCATACAGTATTCACATAGTATTCCATATGTCGACTGACTGGTCAAGAGCAAAGTAGGGTAACTTCCTCTTTTGTTGGGGGAAATGCATCTCTACTAATTAACCTATAAGTAAAAATGATTTTCCAGTCCTTGATTCAAACTGAACACCCAGGAAACTAAAACCATTGAGCAGTTTTCACAAAAATAGCTCTTAAATCAAATTCATTGTGTAGAGGTCAAGTTGACATTATAAAAATCAATTTTGAGTTTACTGGACAATTGCATAAGTGCAACTATATCTGTTTTGTTGACAGTCTATCTGCAACACTTGGCACAGCACCGGGTATACAACATCACCAACAATACAGTAATGGTGAATACTTATAAGCACTTATTTATCTTCCAGGCACAGGATACATATTGGGTCAAATAATTGCTTTTTTTACTAGCACTGGGTCCTGATTAGTTAGTGGGACTCTATAATTACCAGCTTTGCCTACACATTTAACATTCCATGTTTAGGATGAAGGTGGGAATCCACTTCATTGTGATGTT